GTTGTATTTCTAGATCGTCGATTGAAACCGATTTATCTATAATTATTTTTATCCGATTGAACGAAATACGAAATCTCAGCCGTCAAACTACCATTAAATTTGATTTAAATTGGTGCAAACACATCTATCAAAAAGTCATCGATTGCTGTTTATTTGAGTTGGATTATGGGGTATAAGAACTCTCATTGAAAATTCAATCCTATTTATTTTTTCGCCATCGAAAATTTTACAACTGTTTTATTTCTGACTTCGACCATAAATTCGAGATTGTTTTCTTTGGAAGGTTATATTATAACATAGCAACTATAGTTATCTGAACACTTAACCACTGAACTGAAAAGGACGATTGCATTTATTTAAATATTATCATAGAACTGAAACAATGATACGAACAAGATGCTTTGTTTGAGAAACTGAAACATTTATGAGGAATAAAATTTCATTTTTTATTTGTTTTCATTTGTTATATTTCGAGTTCCTTCTCAGCATAGAGATATCAAATTTGTTTGGATAAAATATCATTTTCGAACTGAAAACAATTCGATTATATATTTTTTGGATTGAGAAATACTTTCATGTCATCATTCAGGTTAAAACCCAGTTAAATTTGATCAAACTTGAGCAGATCGAAGCCATAATCGACTTACAGAGTTTGGATTATGATCCGAACCATTTTAGTTCAGTTCCGTACACGAGAGAGAAAGAGAGGATATCCAGATGCTTCCCTCACAAAAGAGCTATTGAATTTGAATGGGTATAAACGATTTTCTTTTAAATCGAATTTTCTAAAAGAAAATTTGGTGGTTCGAAATACATGTATCCAATTGAACTTCCTGAATAGTGTATAGGTAGTATCACGTAAAAAATTAGATGGGGATGTTATTGAAGGAAGACTATAAGTATATCAAATAACAAAGTATCTTTAAATAATTCTGGGATAACGAGTGATTTCTAGGAATATCAACACTACTTTGAAAAACCTCCTATAATTTTCGGATGTTTTATTATTCCGAAATTGATTGAAATCATATTTTTCCTTACGCTCTATCTTTCCTTTTTAACGAAACTTTCGGTTGATCGAATTTTACCAAGCTAATTCGTCAGCCAACCAAATTTTATAAACAATTTTTTCTAGGTAGTGTACTCATAAACCCAAAAACCCAATGAATACCCCTATTGGTATAAGCTACCACTCTTTTTTCCTGAAACCACTCCAAATTTTTCTGAATAGGGCATTCGAGTGCTTTCACCCCTCTTCCCCTCTCCCTGTCACCGCTTCATCGGTTTTAGTGGGAGCTGACCGTTTGGCGGGATTCGACCATGTTCCACTTGATTGAAGGTTTCCATATGTTGCGTATCTCTATACTAACTTGGCTAAATGCGTTGTTGGAAAACATATATGCGGCTTCTTCGAGTTTTCTCCTTGTGGAGTCCAAACATGTACTGCTTTTGCTGATTTGCTAGTTTCTCCTCGCTGTGTATGTTTTTTGTGCTCGGCAATGCAAACTTTCAATGTCCTCTTAGTTTCACCGATGTAGGACTCTATATGTCATACTAGTACTATGTTGCTGTATCGCTGCTGCTCCAATGTTTTGACAGAATCAGAATCAACGAACTTAGACGTGCGCAGCGTTATAGAACAGTGCTTTCAAAAAATTGTTCTACAGCACCATTTAGTGGCGAGTTACAGGAAAATTGATAGCCTCAAAACCTTCTCTATGAAAAAATAAATATACATGTCAAGTTTCATGACGATCGGTTGAGCGATGTAGAGGTGTATCACTTACCAACTAACCAACAAACATCCATTTTTATATATATAATTAGATAATGGAAATCCGACCTAATGAAATAATAGGCGATTGATCGAATATTAACAAATATATTAGTTCGATCGTTCTACCCCAGTAATTCCTTCATGAAAATTTCTTAGCGTTTCCTTGGCTTCTTTCTGATATAAATAGGTGGAATCGTTTTTGAGACTATCGTACATGCCAGCATTTGGAAAATCTACAGTCTTTTTAACGTATTCTTCTTTGTTCATGGCTACTACAATTTTGCCTTTTTTAGCTCGCGTGAAAACAATGTTATTTGCTGCAGATTTGTCTTTTATGAATATAACTAGTTTCAATTCCGGATTGAGGCCTCTCAAAAAAGATTCCAAGTCCAATGCTGAACAACCACAAAAACTCAAAAGAAGGAGAATTCTGGTGGTGGTAAAGCTAAAACGAAGAAGTGGTTTAAAGGAAAAGTACGTAACAAGCTGAATAAACGAGTACTTTTCAATAAAGATTCTTATGAAAAACTCTACAAAGAAGTATCATCCTATAAGTTGATCACCCCATCTGTTGCCTCTGAACGTTTGAAGATTCATGGTTCACTCGCAAGGAGGGCTCTCATCGAGTTACAACAAAAAGGATTGATAAAACATGTTGTACAGAATAGGGCACAGCTGATCGATACAAGAACAACAATAGGGGATGACGAAGTTCCATAATTCAAAGATAGAATGAACCTTGTAAAATAAAAGCCCAATTAAACAGCTCTTTCAAATAAAATATTCTTAAAACTCATCGCAGTTATTCAAAACCACACCAATTTCAAATCATACTATTTGATCATTAGAATTCAAGATATCACACTCCGGAAAAATGCGATGAAAAGAATCTGTTTCCCAGTATTCCTCCGAATGAAACGATGACACTTGTAGAGAATCCATTGGACGAAAGGTCTATCAATCCTATAATGAAACAGGAAATATTAGACTTGCTTACCGTTTGTTTGTCACAGAATCACTTCCAATTCAATGAAATTGTTTACTAATCCTGCAAAGGTTTCATAATGGAAAACCCACTTAGTCCCATTCTGACAGAAATTTTCATGGACAGTAACCCACTGGTAGGGAGTTTCGTGTATTGGTATAAACATGTAGATGATATCCTAGTATGCTTCACAGGAACGATCAGACAATTGACTGACTTCTTGAATTTCATGAATTCTCCCCACCCTTCCATTACATTCACCATGGAGATACAAAAGTACGTAAAGCAGGACATACAGATATTATCGTTCATAATTCGTCCACCCACTCTTATCATTCCAAAGTAACAGCATTCAACAGTATGAACCACAGAATGATAAATGTTCCCTTGTCAAATGCGAATTTCAATAAAGAACTGAATATAATAAAACAGATAGCCGTCAACAATTATTATAATAGCAGTCTAATACATTCTCTATTATCAAAAAAGTTACAGCCAAGCTGAGGATAAAATTTATAGAATCTTAGCCTACTCAGGCCAACCCACCATGAATATTTCAAATTTTCTCCACAACAAAAATGTATATGTTGCTTTTAAAACCAATAACTTAGTCATGCACATTAAGAATAACAAAGATAAAAGTTCATTTGAATATCGAAACACGGTCACGGTTTTTGTAAAACCCTTTATGGTGAAAATCATACAATAAACTGTATTAATGAGTTTTAATATGGATTTTCATCAAGTATCTATACTATTAGGAAATATTTGAGTAATACAAAAAGGTACATATAACATCCCAAAACAAACGTCTCTTGGATGACACTCATAAACACATAAAAACTGAAAAAATGTCTTCAAATGGCTCGAAATAATTTCAATTGAGTTGATATCTAACTTGCTTTTGTTTGAAAGTGAATGAAAATGTTTCATTGGGAATTTCATCCCATTGTTTAATAGCCTAAATCAGAAATGCATTTTTTGAAAGTTGGTGACAATATTTCATGGTGAGTTTTACTGGTTCGAAATCCCATTGTTTAATATGACTTGAAATCTCTGATAATTGAAATGAATAGCTGAAAATAACAATCAAATTAGAAAGAAAATAGTGGTCAAGTAGTCCCAAGCTGAGACTATCCACAGGGACGAACACTGGTTCAAGAGGAAAGTTAAAGAAGCTGGATATATGTTTTCCAACGATACATTCAGCAAATCTTGCGCAGGGATACGCAACATATAGAAACCCGTAATCAACTGGAAAACGATCAACTTTCTCCAAACGGCTAAACCGTTAATGCGGAGAAAGAGGATAGGTGAAATCCCTCCAATTACCTATAAATAGTCATCTCTCGAAGAAATAGTCAAGCCGTCACCCGATACCAACAATGGATTAGACAATAGAAGTCAGAACTAATGGAAATCAACTAACCACTACGTTTTATTTATTTTCTGTCTGTAATGAATCAAACATTTTCGTTCCAGTAGAGATATACAGAATTTTCGTCGAAAGAAAAGTACACAGTTTCTTCAGCAAAAAAAAGTTAATGGGATATAGGATGTATTAATGATATTTCTACTGTATTTTTGGGTATATAACCTCCACAATCTAATCAATAAACAAAACTGAATCAATTGAGAATCTGCTGAAATTCAGTATAGGGGAAATTGGAAGGTTCACCCCGAAAAGTTACCACTATAGAGTTCAATTAGTCAGTACTCGTCTATCGTACTCGTGAATACATTGACTAATAGGACTCTTCAGTTAATTTAATTTCGTTCATTTCTCAGATTTGTAAGGTTATATACATTGAAAAGCAGTAAGAAATATTGAGTTCTCAACAAAAAAAGCTCTCAAAGAATATTTATGGTATTTTGAGTCTTATTAAATATTACAAGTGTGACAAAACAAACGTTTCTCAAATGACACTCATAAATATATAATTTTCAAGTCGTTAAAAAAAGGACAAGATATTTGGTCATTTCTGGAATGATAAATAATATTATCATAGATGACTGACTTGAAATTTTCTTCTCTGAAACACGATTTTTCTATCGATTGTAATTCGTCAGAAGAAATTAAGATTATCAATGTTTGGAACTGATCGGACATGAGTTATACTTATGTGTTAATGTTGACTGTTTCACCAAATATTTCAAAGAGAAAAAATGTACATATGATATCCCATCATGTTTTAAATTATTCATAAATCATCAGTATGTAATTAGGAATTAACTCACCTCTCTTGGGCTTATCACTATTAATATCACTTAAACGGTCGCTAAGTAAGTCTTGCGTAAGCGTATCTTGTTCATCTTGATCCAGATGTTCATTTTCGGGAGCATTTATCGAAAGTTTATGGCACACTTCAAATGCTTGACCTATGGTTCGCACAACTCGCATGGCTTGGCTCTGTAACAAAAACATTCTGCAATGTTATATAAACATAAATTTTTCTCTGTATTTCATTTGGAGGTTTTATCAGTGTGTGAATATTTGTTTGAAGGTGGTTGACAATGTTTCGTGGTGCCACAATCGGATACTAACATCGAAACGTCATGAAGTAGCTTGGCTTGAAACATAGTAAGACTTGAAATCAGTGAGTAAGAAATAATTAAGTGGCATCTACCCACAAAAATGACACCTAACCTAAAAATAAAAATGACAGAAGAAATTAACAATGAATATAGAAAAATTCCAAACAGCTGAAACTCTAGTCAATTGGATTGGAATGGATATTGTCGGGACTATGAATAATACAGTGCGACGTTATTACCGTACTGAGGGTTGGAACTTCATTACTAGAATGCTAGATGACGTTAAAGTAGATAGATAGATGATCGGTTGAGTAGTTTTCGCATTTATAATATTAGTAGGGATAGGGATAGTAGGAATTAAACAATGGAAGTCTGAACTAATGAAATGCACGTGTGAATATTTGTACTACATTCAACTGTTTTTCAATGAAGTTGCAGTTGAATACAACTCAATAATTGTGTTTACAACATGATGCCTTATTTCACTACGCAACCATGAGTTTTGCAAGAATATTCCGGTTGAGTAAAATTATTGGGGTGAGTAAAAGATATTTTTGATTCTGTGCTGAACGCCTCATAACAGAAGATTCGAAAATATTTTACATTATTTGATCATCTAGGTTGCTTATCTAAAGACATGAATTCAGGCGTTAAATCACTGCCTGTTCCATTGATTCAGACCACAAAAGAGGTTATTTTCCATTTGAAGAGTTTTCTTTAAAACCACCATTCGTGTATGACATGACAACGTCATTTTGATACAATATTTGAATTCAGTTTCTAATTTTTTCAGAATATGGTTCACTTTGAGAACACGGCTCACTTAATGTGTATTTGAAATTCCTTTTTCTCACTTTCATCATTTTATATTTTTTATCAATCTTATTAACAGATGAACTATTATGTTTTTTGAAATACATTTTTTGTGAAGGACTCAATACTTCTTACTGAGTTTTTGTATTATAACCTTTCACAATCTTTCTTCAATGGTCGACTCATCTTAAAACAATCTTTTTTTGTTTTTCGAAACCTGAAATTCACTTTAAAACTTTTGACTTAAAACGTGAATAGCTTCAATTCTTTTGACATACTCCATACGTATGTCGAAAGAATTGAATCTATTCACAATTTGAGAAGAAAATTGAGAAGTAAATTAGAATGAATTCCTCAACAATGGTTGTACGAGGGTGCTCTAAAAAGTTTGCGACCTCAACATGAAGAAAGCAGCACTCTTAAATAAAAGATATTGAATTTCGGTTTTCATCTGTTGACAGTTACTCACCAAAATTTCAACCATTTTGAGTTGATGTGTATGGGCACCATCATTAATCACAGTAAAACATTGGGTAGCTGAATTTAAACGTGAGAGCTTTCGGGACGACCAACAACTACAACTATCGACAAAAACATCGCCAAAGTTGATGACGACCGCCAAATTAAAGTGAGAGAGATAGGAGAGATTATGCACATGTATTTGTCATTTATTGAATCAAAGGTTTCCGCGCGTTGGGTCCCGAGCTTGCTCAGTTAGTACCAAAAACGTGCTCTAATGAACATTTCCAACGCTCTGTTGTCGCAGATTAGGCGCAATAAATCCGAGTCTTAGCGCCAAATAATTAAATAATTACTGTAAATGAAACTTGGATACACGATTACACCCGAAGTAAAAATACAGTACAAACAGTGGACTGCAGAGGGGGAACCGGCTCCGAAAAAAGCAGCGGCTGGGAAAGTAATGGCGACTATTTTTTGAGTTAGTCATGGAGTTATTTCAATAGATCGCCTTCAAAAAGGAAAAACAACTAGAGGAGTAACTACTACTAAAGGCGGAAAAATGGCCACATTTGCAGAAAAAGAAAATCATTGATGATGTTTAATGATCAAATCGATTTAGTTTACTAATCGGTTTTCAAATTAGCATATCCATATTGTTACAAGTAAACAAAATTCAGGTAAGTACTCAATTGAGCTAAATACCTCTATTATTACCTACAGTGGTGTTATCTAAAGGCTAATGTAATCAATCATTCTTAGTTTAAACTGCAGTAACGTTAGTTACAAATAAAAGTGGTGGAAAGTTTCAATTCTCATTTTTTATAACTTTTTTGATCGTTCCACAATTATCTGGGATGTTCTGGTTTCACGAATATTCAAGACTATTTCCGAACATTCCACCTCATTCCAGAATGTTCCGGGATGTTCTGAAATGTTGTGAAATGCTTTCGAATACTTTGGAATGTTCTGGACTATTCCAAGAACTTCTTGGAGGACAAAATATCCAGCCTATATATCTTAGTACTCTAATCTGTTAGTTCATGAAAATTAATAACACAATCCATGACTGTGTCTTTCGAAAGCGTTCCTTACATTATGGAAGAAGTCCGGAGTCACAAATCGACATTCCCGAACAATTATCTGTCGCAGGTCTTCTGTTCAACGCATTAATGGCTCAGGTTGTGGTCTGGATGATCCGTATTGTAAATTCTTGCAGCACCTTTAGCACATTTATTATTTCGATAATAGGTTTCAATAATTTCTATTCTTTTCTCAGTAGAATAAACCATGTTGGAATACAGTGAACAAGAATGACCGAATAATAATTCGTGAAGAAGTGACAGTGGCCAACTATCTACTTTTTGTTCTGCGACAACTAGATTCAACAAAAAGTACCAGTGCAGAAAAAACTAAGTGTCGTCCATTTTAAAATATATACTACTAATTAAATGAATTCTACAAATCTAGAAGACCTGCGACAGATAATTTTTCGGGAATGCCGATTTCTGACTCCGGACATTTTCAATAATGTAAGAAACGTTTTCGAAAGTAGACTCTACTATTGTATGGAACTAGATGGAGGTCATTTCGAACACTCTATCCGTTGATTGTGTTGCAATTTATATTACTTTTGTTGATTTCTTCAATAAAATGAGCGACAGCAAATTTTCTCTTTTTTCTTACATAGAACGTTCAACATTCAATTTCTCACAAACGAATGAACCAATTTCAAAAAAATCACAGAAGTAATAGAGGGACAAAATACCTTCTGAAATGATGTATAATTCGACCCCCATGCCATTGAAAAAAATAGTGGGGTAGTTGCAGAATTAGTTCCCCTAGAAATTAAAATTGACGTGTTCATCGAAATTTTCGATTACCCCTGACTTACAGGGGTTGCGTTGGAACGCAATGTATGTCTGCTATCCGGGGGAAGCCGGGTCCGTTCGCTAGTCAAAAATGAAATAATTCGTTTTCTCTCATTGGAATACTGAAAGCTATTCTATTCAATAGAATATTATTCTAAGCATTTCTAACATTTTTCAATCATACGAGTATGAGATACATATCCTATGAGAAATACCATTCTTGTCACGTACTGAATAGAATTATGATAATGATAACGTAATATATCATGCCTGTGTACAGAAAATTTGCCCAATTTCTATTCTTCTCGCCTCACATGATAATTTGAACCCTCAAGGTGAAAGCAGTGAGTTCGGTTCGGGATGTTTTTTGTCAGAATAGCTCATTTATTATACATGAGGAACTGATAAGGCAAGGAAAATAGTATGAATTCATGGATACAGTTAGTTGAGCCGAGTTAAAAAAATGTGTATTCTCAAGAGAACTGTTATTTTCAATTTTGTATTTTGAGTGTTATTTTCAATTTTGTGTTTTCATACACTGTCCATGTATAAAGTTGAGATATTATTTCGATTGTTTACGCGAGTTTCTGAGAAAGTGTTCAAAGCAATACACAAAAACAACAAATAATGAAACAGAAAAACTCGAAAGTTAGCGGAATATATTTCAACAACAGACAGTGAAAATATGTTGAACTATCAAAACACATAGACTATTTAGTTCGCCTTCTTGGTTTTGAATGCTCAGCATCCTAATGCTCGAGAATTTGGTTCCAGTGTTTGTGGTGTTTACATTAACTAAGTACAGTTCGTGATGTGAATTCAAAACTATTTCATTTTGTCTAATTTAACATTTTTCAATTTACAACCTGAGTAAAAAAATTAAGTCAGGAGCAGGAGCTAGAGTATTCATCATTTCTTTTGAAAACATTGGTTGTGCTATATTGATACAAATTTTTTTTGTTTTGGTAGGTTTTCAAACTAGTTTTTTTTTCCATAAACTCAAAGAACGTGTGGTAGTACTAACGGATGTTTCCATTACTGAAAATAATTAATAAATCATTATCTTTATTACTTCTGTGTGTATACCATCCTGTGTGTATAGAATGATCGTAAATAACTCATAACACGACTGTTCTGCATTCACTCATGGCGGTATAAGTGCTCAGTAATGTTTTTTTCACTGACCAGCAACAAGAGCTTTATGAAATACATCCAAAGTTATGAAAAATTCAATATATTGCTTTGCTGATGTCAGCACACTTGTCTCATCTTTATATTTGGATTCCAAAACATCGGCTGTGGATGCACATCTTCACCGGCAGCAGTGAATATCCTGATGAGGATCTAGACTAGAAGTAATTTCGAATTGGGATGAAAGTAACCAGGTTCAATTCAATGCCACAAAAACCCCGGCATCGGTTTTCTCGAAAAAGATAAATGTCTCCGAACCGGATACAATAATGTCAGGTCAGACAATTCCTCTTTCTGCTTCGATAAGTTTGGTGGTGGTTAAAATGGTCACCAATTAATATGTTTTGACACAATCATGTCGCTGGAATTGCAAAGGCTGCTTTTCAAAAGTTTGCAACACTATTCTGAACCATAAAACTTTACATACCTCAGCAACTTTTGATGCTTTATAAAGATCAGATCAGACCTTCTTTGCAGTATTGTTCTCATGAATGAAGCTCCTCCCCCAAACATACCCTGAAGCTGCTGGATTCCATCCAGA